GATTTTTTCTACAACTGCTAGTTCCCATATATTGAATTCTCAAGGAGCTTTAACTTCCAACCAAAGGTCCTCTAGCCTCCTTACCCCCAACTTCTTGTTCTGCAGGTCAAAATTCTACCATGATGGTTTAACACTATCATCACATTGCAATGTAAAGTCAATTCATGATGATGTTGCACCACCACTAGATACAAGCCCAAAATATAAAAATTCAGGTCAGGATCCAAGTATGGGGAAAGATTGAATATTTTAAATACTTTCTTGTTCAGATACATTTCCAAATATCGGTAATGCCATTCTTTAATAATAAAGAGAGACCTAGTATTGTCTGAAATGAACATGAGTCTATAACCACCTTGCGTAACCATGAAAATCAAGACTGTTCCCATGAATTTCAGCACATTGGTCTAGGCCTCACATTTCCCATCTGGAAGTAAAGCCAGTTTTCACTGAGTAGAGAATACAGCTTTGTAGTTTCAGCTCCAACTTTCAGATCAAATGGCAAAAATGTGGAAATATTAATTTTGTTAATAGTTTCAGTGACAATAAAGTGTTTGTTCACACCATAGGCGTTTCCTTTAACTTCTTCCTCCATTTCTTCAGTGGAAAGATAAGATACAGACTGTTTCCTCCCCACTGCCCACCTTTAGAAGACTGATATTTTGGAATACTCATTTAAAGATACAGTTTTCTATGAAGATAATACACTTCATTAAATGTAAATTTTGAGTTAGGATAACCTTTCAGACAGATTTCAAGAGTATAAATGCCCTCTGAAAATAAAGTTTCCTCTAATAATGTGTGCATTGTTGTAAGAGTGGATGTATTGAAGGCTATCATGTATTGCAAACACTTAAACATCTGAGTAACTCTGGTCACCATTGAAGCCAATAGTCCTTCCTACAAGAGTAAAATTATTCATGACCTTTTACAGCAAATACTTGTGTGTGGGGACAAGAGTGTCTGTTACACAAACAAGAAACTATGGAATAATGAAGTTGGGATATAAACAAACAAGGAAGTTTAACGTCATTTCATTTAGAACATCACTTGTGCAGTTAAGTGCTGGAGGACAGACTGTATTTCACGTTATACATTGTTTTTAAATCTTACTGGATATAACAGGTGAATTAAGGACAAACTCAGTGGTAGTATGAATTTCCTGGTTGCCTTTTCAACCTTCACTAATTTTATTTAGAGACATTTCAAGGGTGCTCACCGCCATAGTATCTGGGCAACTTCACATTTCCTTTTCCACACCTTTCCTTTTTTTATTTTTTAAAAATTCACTTAATAGGAAGATTTAATTTTAAAACAATTGAGAGACTAGATTTGTTGAATTAAGCGGATTAGCCAAAACACATACTGAAGCACCAAGAATTTTTTTGAAAAGTTGGGGAGAATAGAGCAAGTTAGAAAGGCACACCCAGTTTCAATTTTTAATGAACAAAAGAAGAATGATCTTGGAAGATATCATAAGGTAACAACTTCAGTCATTAGTAAAATAATGGAACAAATACAAAGGTTGCGGTTGGCGGCTGGGGGAGAGAGAGAGAGGGACAACTATATAAAGCAACGGTTGCCCAGCCATTCTTATTTGTATTACAGTAAAGCTTAGAGACCCCACCCAAGACAAATGTCAATTGTGCCAGGTGTTGTACTTTCATATAGAAAGAGAGAGTAACATCGCACTGGGAGCTTATATTCAGCGGATTATCCAGAAAGTATGGCCTACATGTATACATCTACATACACATATTGCTTACTTGCACGCAGTTCAGAGCGACCTGAGTCACTTGGTAAAGCAGTGACCTGTCCTCTTTATTATTCACCACTCCCTCAATTCGTGTCATTCAAAAACTTTATCAGTGATATTTTTATCTATGACCTGGAAGAAAACAAAATAAAAAGCGTAGGACCAAGAATCCATCCCTGCAGGACCCCACTAGAAATTAACTCACTAAGTGATGATTCCCTAATAACAATTACATTTTGAGATATTAAATGGATTTAAAGCTGGCTAGCTGATATGTGTTCCATGTTAATTTTTTAGTGTTCAAGATTTTTAAATCAAAATGTTGTGAGGTACCAATACTCGAATGCCTTCCAGCCGTGGTTTTCAAACTTTTTTCCTGTCGACCTAGTTGAAGAAAATTCAGAGCAGAGGATGAGGGGTTCAAACTGTGGGATGGGGCTCTGCGATGGGGCAGAGGATTGGGGTGTGGGAAAGGGTCAGGGCTCTGGGCTGGAATTTCAGGCTCTGGGCTGGGGCCAGGGATGAGGGGCTTAGGGTGCAGGAGGGGCCCTGGATTTTGGGGGCTCAGAGCTGGGGCAGGGGATTGGGGTGCAGGGTTGGGGCTCAGGGTTACCTCAGGTGGCTCCCAGTCAGTGGCACAGTGGGGTGCTAAGGCAGGCTTCCTGCCTGTCCTGGCACCGCGGACTGTGCTGCGCCCTAGAAGCGCCCAGCAGCAGGTCCAGCTCCCAGGCAGAGGTGCGCAAGCAGCTCCGTGCGGCCCTCACCCACAGGCACCGACCCTTCCAGCTCCCATTGGCTGGTTCCCGGCCAATGAGAGTGCGGAGCTGGTGCTTGGGATGGGGGCAGCGTACGGAGTCCCATGGCCCCCCCGCCTAGGAGCCAGACCTGCTGCTGGCTGCTTCTGGGGCGCATCGCGGTGTCAGAACAGGTAGAGACTAGCCTGCCTTAGATGGGCAGCACCACCAATGGGACTTTTAACGTCTCGGTCAGTGGTGTGGACCAGAGCCACTGCAACCCAATGCCTTACATTCTGCGACCCAGTACTGGGTCGCGACCTGCAGTTTGAAAACCACTGCCTTACAGAAGTGTATGTATATCACATCAACACTATTACCTTTCGCAAACAAACTTGTACTGTTGTCAAAAATAAGATGTCAAGCTAGTTTGACAGGATGCATTTTCCATAAACACACGGGGATTGGCATTAACTATATATTACCCTATTGTCCGACTGGCAGGCCTGTAATTACCCTGGTCATCCTGTTTACCTATCTTCCAGTGTTCTGGAATGTCACCAGTGTTACATGACTTATTGAAAATCAACATTAATGGTCCAGTGAACTCCTCTGCCAACTCTTTTCAGACTCATGGTTGGTTCCAAGTTATCTGGACCTGCTGATTTAAAAATGTCTTGGTCATTGCTATTTAATCTGAGATACTAGTGAGTGCGCCAGCTGGGGGTGCAGGCTCTGGGATGTAGGAAGGTGTTCAGGGCTGGGGCGGGAGAAGGGGGAGCGAGTGCTCTGGCTGGGGTGCAGGCTCTGGGGTGTAGGACGTTCTCCGGGCCTGGACATTCAGGGTGTAGGAGGGCGCTCTAGGCTGGGGCTGAGGGGCTTGGAGGGGGATCAGGACTGGGGCGTGGGAGTGTGTGCACACTCCAGCTGGGGGTGCAGCCTCTGGGGTGGGGCTGAGAATGAGGGGTTTGGGGTGTAGGAGGGTGCTCTGGGCTGGGAATGAGAGGTTTGGGATGCAGGAGGGGGCTCAGGGCTAGGGCAGGGGGTTAGAGAATGGAAGGGGGTCAGGGGTGCAGACTCCGGATGGCGCTTACCTCAAGCAGCTCCCAGAAGCAGAGGCACATCCCCCCTCCGGCTCCTACACAGAGGCGCGGCCAGGTGGCTCTGTGTGCTGCCCCATCTGCAGGTGCAGTACCCAGCCAATGGGAGCTGCAGAGCCAGCACTTGAGGCGGGTGCAGCATGTGGAGCCCCTGGCTGCCCTTATGTGTCGGAGCCAGAGGGGGGACATGCCGCTGCTTCCAAGAGCTGTGGACAAGCCTTAAGTGACTTTCACAAAATTTGTGGCAAGGTCAAGAATTTAACTCAGACCTCCTGAGTTCTATTCCAGTATCTTAACCACAAACCACCCTCCTCTCAAAGGTTAAGGCACTAGCCTGGGACTCAGGCACTCCATGGAGAACTGACTAGGTACATAGTGCTGGCTCTCCTCCTCATTTCCAGCTGAGAGAAGCAGCACAGACAGGAGGAAGGAAGGACACCAAGAAGAAAAGGAGCTAGTGTGATAAGCCACTTTCCAAGAGGAGAAGAGACTTATTGCATTAGAGAAAGCAAAAGCTATATAAATATCTCCATGAAAATGACTTTGCCTTGTAAGCAATTGCTGTAGTTGCTAAAGCAATAGTAAGCAATTGCAAATGGCGGGGGGAAAGATGGTCTAGTCAATGGGAAGACACATAATGTGCAATATGTTGTCTATATTATGGTTTAGTCTACAGTATGAAAGAGCTCAAGAAACCCTAATCTAGAGGATAATGGAACCAGACTTTCCAAGCAGCCACTTATGCCAGGCAAACTTGATTTAAAAAGCATTGAGCGAGCATCTCATGAAATTGTACCACAGAAGTTGGTCATACATGGTGTTGAGTTGTGTTAATATTTATCAAGTGCTGAAATTTTGAGGAAAGGTGGTTCTACAACTGCACAGTATTAATTCACAGAGGAAGACAATAGATATGAGACCAAACATTAAACTAAACCTGATTGTTTTACCAACAATTTGTTGATAAAATATAGAGCCAAACAGAAATACCATTCACTCCAGTTAGTAAAAATACTAAAGTAAGGGCAACAAAGAGGAAAATGTATATAAAAATCTATTAAAATCTTTGCTCTGTCGGTCTAAAAAACCCCCAGATTTACTGTTTTAGCAATATATCCTAGGTCCAGAACATGCATGCTCTATTTTAAATAGAGTGGATAAAGAAGTCAAATGTAAACCCTAAATACAAGGGGTAATGCCAACCAAATAAAAACAGTAAGTATTTTTCCGCATTAATGCACTGCATAATTTTTAAAATCTGGAATCAGCAGAAATCATGAACTTCTATGTTGAGCATTAACTAAGTGGGGCAACTGTTTTGAACTAGAATTTGAACTGAGGCAAGAGGAGAGGGAGGGAACCTGAAACTGAACTGTTGCTTTCATTTTGCACTATTAATTCTCTTTACAGCACACACCAGCATGCCAGATGTTCTGCAGTACAAATACAAGGACAAGGACCCTGCCACCAAGAGGTAACAGTGTAATTTTAGATGCGACACCGTACGTGGGTGTAACACAATATGAAGGCAGTGAGCAGAGGAAGAACAAGAGGTACCAGCAGGTCTCACAATTACTTGTGAAACAGATCCTCAGATGATGCAATTTGACAGACTCAGTGGAGCTATGCTGGTTTACACCAGTTGATGATCTGGTTCTAAATTTAGTTTACTTTTAAGAGATTATCCACATTTCACAGCTAGGAAAAGCAAGACAGGTTAAGACTGGAATTTTCAAAGAAGCTTAAGAATTAAGCACACAAGGCCCATTGAATTAAATGGCTTGTCTAAAGTCACACCGCAAGTTAGTGCCAGACCTAGAATCCCCCACTCTAAGCCTTAACATAAGACCTTCCCTGTCTCCCACACTACTCAAATATATTTATAGTACCTTTGTATAAAAAAATTGCAAGAGTCTTTCAAAATGCATTCTATAAATCCAAAGAGATCATATACTTCAATGTATTTTAAAAATGGCATCAAAACTACTCTTTATTAGAAAATATTATGGTAACAAGTAGGAATCAGTGACTTTTAAAACTACGGACTGGTGGTGGGAAGCCAACTTATAAACAGGAGATCCATTGTAAAAAGTTGAGTTCCATGAAGTTTTGGTTGCTGGCTGTATCTGACAGCAATTAAAAGAGGGTAAAAAAAGTCTAAGAAGAGATGTGAGCAACCAAACAAGTTTAAATGAGATGTTGAGGGTTGGGAAGATAGCAGAATAAATGTGATTTCTGGGAATTTTTGCAAGATGTGTTGGCTTCTATTGGTTTATCTTATCTTTGATTTTTTTTCCCCTTCATATTTTGATACAGGCTCTACTGGGAAAATCCTGAGATCAGCAATGCAGTGTGTGAGGCTGAAGTATTTACCCAGGGATTGGCCTAGCTCTGCAGAAATGATAGCAAACGCATAATTTCCCAACAGGAGCGTGAACAGCACTCCTGGCTTTTGTTACATCCTTACTGCAACTTAGCCAGAGACACTAGGAGGAAGTATCTCCTCCGTGTTGCACGTTCCTATGATGGAGAAAACTAAATTTGTAAGAGCTTAAATTGTCAGTTTCTCTGGTGTCCTTTATTCTGAAAGACTATCCTCATTTTAGCCCTGATTCAGGAAGGTAGTTAAACAATGAGTAGTTAAGCACTGGAGTAAGACTCCTCACCTGCTTAGAGGTATGCATGTGCTTAAGTAGCTTGATGAACTTAGGCCTTTTCCATAAGATTCTTTTACTCTATGATAGGATTCACACTGCTTGTTTTAACCCTTACCTCTCCCTTCCCTACCCCTTCCTGTGTCTCAGTTATCAGCCCCTGGCTGTGTGCATTTCACATAGGCCCCAATCCTGCAAGTTATTCCTTGCAGGTGAGCTAGCAGTGACTCTCTGATCACTCCAATAGTATTTGGGGTTCCCTTGACCATATTTTTTCACTCTAAGACCACTGCTCGTTTTAGCAGGGAAGGGCAATGCAGCCAATCATCATCATCAATTAGATCGATCAGCCCTGACTCTCCTCCAGCTGCAGCCTAGAAGGTTAATTGATCCTTTAGAACCTGCTCATGCTTTGTGGGGGGTGGACACCCCTATCACAAATACATTTAATACTAATAAAAGAAATCCACAACATTTTACATAAAGTGCACATTTAGTTTGTGTAACTCATTGTCACAGAATATCATTGAGGTTAAAAGAATCAGACATTTATGTCAAAAGAA